GAGCAAACGGCAAAGCGCAGAGAAAAATCAAGAGCAAAGAGTAGCGTGCTGGAAAGCAACGAGCAAAAGCAAGAGCAAAAGCAAGAGCAAAAGCTTCCCGTCCGCGAATTGAACCCGGGTCACCCGCGTGACAGGCGGGTATACTAACCACTATACTAACGAGAATTCCTGCACCATCTAAAGCACACACAGTTTCACAAACAAAACAAACGCACTCCTACACACAACCACACTCCTATGCACACCGCACCATATCCTGATTTCCTGATGCACTCTTTCGAGCCCCCACGTCACTATCACAGACTCACGGACATACCACGGATAGCGTCAGCGAACACCATGCTCAACGAGCACTCTACGCATTCACGGAGCAGCCGCACTCTCTCATACAACTCACCGATGACCACGCGTCATCTCCGTGACCTGCAAGGCTAAAGACAAGCAAACGCGTCAGGTGCTGCACAGCATTGTCATCCGGACCCGGGATCGAGTCTTACTACACACTCGCCTTGCGCCTGTTCAAAGTGCTACATGAGGTTGTACCAGCTAACAGGATCCATGCCGTGCCCGCTCTCGTTATGATCAACCGTACTGCATGTGAAACGAAAGTAGTTGTAAGCACCAGGAGAAATGAGCATCAAGAGCGTCGACGCAGAGTAAAGAACACAGTGTGTAGTGCAAAGACGAAAAAAGCAAAAGAACAGAGCCAAAGCGCAAACTGCAAAACGCAGAGCAAAAGAGCAAACGGCAAAGCGCAGAGAAAAATCAAGAGCAAAGAGTAGCGTGCTGGAAAGCAACGAGCAAAAGCAAGAGCAAAAGCAAGAGCAAAAGCTTCCCGTCCGCGAATTGAACCCGGGTCACCCGCGTGACAGGCGGGTATACTAACCACTATACTAACGAGAATTCCTGCACCATCTAAAGCACACACAGTTTCACAAACAAAACAAACGCACTCCTACACACAACCACACTCCTATGCACACCGCACCATATCCTGATTTCCTGATGCACTCCTTCGAGCCCCCACGTCACTATCACAGACTCACGGACATACCACGGATAGCGTCAGCGAACACCATGCTCAACGAGCACTCTACGCATTCACGGAGCAGCCGCACTCTCTCATACAACTCACCGATGACCACGCGTCATCTCCGTGACCTGCAAGGCTAAAGACAAGCAAACGCGTCAGGTGCTGCACAGCATTGTCATCCGGACCCGGGATCGAGTCTTACTACACACTCGCCTTGCGCCTGTTCAAAGTGCTACATGAGGTTGTACCAGCTAACAGGATCCATGCCGTACCCGCTCTCGTTATGATCAACCGTACTGCATGTGAAACGAAAGTAGTTGTAAGCACCAGGAGAAATGAGCATCAAGAGCGTCGACGCAGAGTAAAGAACACAGTGTGTAGTGCAAAGACGAAAAAAGCAAAAGAACAGAGCCAAAGCGCAAACTGCAAAACGCGAAGCAAAAGAGCAAACGGCAAAGCGCAGAGCAAAAGCAAGAGCAAAGAGTAGCGTGCTGGAAAGCAACGAGCAAAAGCAAGAGCAAAAGCAAGAGCAAAAGCTTCCCGTCCGCGAATTGAACCCGGGTCACCCGCGTGACAGGCGGGTATACTAACCACTATACTAACGAGAATTCCTGCACCATCTAAAGCACACACAGTTTCACAAACAAAACAAACGCACTCCTACACACAACCACACTCCTATGCACACCGCACCATATCCTGATTTCCTGATGCACTCTTTCGAGCCCCCACGTCACTATCACAGACTCACAGACATACCACGGATAGCGTCAGCGAACACCATGCTCAACGAGCACTCTACGCATTCACGGAGCAGCCGCACTCTCTCATACAACTCACCGATGACCACGCGTCATCTCCGTGACCTGCAAGGCTAAAGACAAGCAAACGCGTCAGGTGCTGCACAGCATTGTCATCCGGACCCGGGATCGAGTCTTACTACACACTCGCCTTGCGCCTGTTCAAAGTGCTACATGAGGTTGTACCAGCTAACAGGATCCATGCCGTGCCTGCTCTCGTTATGATCAACCGTACTGCATGTGAAACGAAAGTAGTTGTAAGCACCAGGAGAAATGAGCATCAAGAGCGTCGACGCAGAGTAAAGAACACAGTGTGTAGTGCAAAGACGAAAAAAGCAAAAGAACAGAGCAAAAGCGCAAACTGCAAAACGCAGAGCAAAAGAGCAAACGGCAAAGCGCAGAGCAAAATCAAGAGCAAAGAGTAGCGTGCTGAAAGCAACGAGCAAAAGCAAGAGCAAAAGCAAGAGCAAAAGCTTCCCGTCCGCGAATTGAACCCGGGTCACCCGCGTGACAGGCGGGTATACTAACCACTATACTAACGAGAATTCCTGCACCATCAAAAGCACACACAGTTTCACAAACAAAACAAACGCACTCCTACACACAACCACACTCCTATGCACACCGCACCATATCCTGCTTCCCCGACGCACTCTTTCGAGCCCCCACGTCACTATCACAGACTCACGGACATACCACGGATAGCGTCAGCGAACACCATGCTCAACGAGCACTCTACGCATTCACGTAGCAGCCGCACTCTCTCATACAACTCACCGATGACCACGCGTCATCTCCGTGACCTGCAAGGCTAAAGACAAGCAAACGCGTCAGGTGCTGCACAGCATTGTCATCCGGACCCGGGATCGAGTCTTACTACACACTCGCCTTGCGCCTGTTCAAAGTGCTACATGAGGTTGTACCAGCTAACAGGATCCATGCCGTACCCGCTCTCGTTATGATCAACCGTACTGCATGTGAAACGAAAGTAGTTGTAAGCACCAGGAGAAATGAGCATCAAGAGCGTCGACGCAGAGTAAAGAACACAGTGTGAAGTGCAAAGACGAAAAAAGCAAAAGAACAGAGCAAAAGAACAGAGCAAAAGAGAAAACTGCAAAGCGCAGATCAAAAGCAAGAGCAAAGAGTAGCGTGCTGAAAGCAACGAGCAAAAGCAAGAGCAAAAGCAAGAGCAAAAGCAAGAGCAAAAGCTTCCCGTCCGCGAATTGAACCCGGGTCACCCGCGTGACAGGCGGGTATACTAACCACTATACTAACGAGAATTCCTGCACCATCAAAAGCACACACAGTTTCACAAACAAAACAAACGCACTCCTACACACAACCACACTCCTATGCACACCGCACCATATCCTGATTTCCTGATGCACTCTTTCGAGCCCCCACGTCACTATCACAGACTCACGGACATACCACGGATAGCGTCAGCGAACACCATGCTCAACGAGCACTCTACGCATTCACGGAGCAGCCGCACTCTCTCATACAACTCACCGATGACCACGCGTCATCTCCGTGACCTGCAAGGCTAAAGACAAGCAAACGCGTCAGGTGCTGCACAGCATTGTCATCCGGAACCGGGATCGAGTCTTACTACACACTCGCCTTGCGCCTGTTCAAAGTGCTACATGAGGTTGTACCAGCTAACAGGATCCATGCCGTGCCCGCTCTCGTTATGATCAACCGTACTGCATGTGAAACGAAAGTAGTTGTAAGCACCAGGAGAAATGAGCACCAAGAGCGCCGACGCAGAGTAAAGAACACAGTGTGAAGTGCAAAGACGAAAAAAGCAAAAGAACAGAGCAAAAGAACAGAGCAAAAGAGAAAACTGCAAAGCGCAGATCAAAAGCAAGAGCAAAGAGTAGCGTGCTGAAAGCAAAACGAGCAAAAGCAAGAGCAAAAGCAAGAGCAAAAGCTTCCCGTCCGCGAATTGAACCCGGGTCACCCGCGTGACAGGCGGGTATACTAACCACTATACTAACGAGAATTCCTGCACCATCTAAAGCACACACAGTTTCACAAACAAACAAACGCACTCCTACACACAACCACACTCCTATGCACACCGCGTGGTTCATACCTCTGAGACTACCTAGGAAAAGTTCAGGGACGACAAGCTCCCTAAAGAATTCGGTTTTACGTCCACTCTCGACAAGATCGATCGAGTGTCCACCTACCGTCCCACCGAGCGAAGAATATCCACTCGATGCCCCTCAGGTCTACCTCTCTAGAGGCAGACGTCTACGTCCTCACCAAGTATTTCAAAGAGCGCAACCCGCCAGCCAACGGGTACACAAGGTGAGAGAAGGTCCATACGCGGCATCAGGGTGCCCCCTCCGACAGTCGGCAGTCCGACACAGTGAGTAATTTGGGGTCTCATCATACAATTTTGGGAACCCACTCCACCACATTGGTGTTATAGATTATTTTTGCGGTCGCCAAGCATGCAGGGGACTCTTGGCGTAGCGATGTCAACACTGGCACGCAGGCACACCAGCTGCTATCATTTTCTCGATAGACTCAGATATATCCTTTGTAGGGGCCGACAACTTTGATGTACAGAAAGGGCGGTCGAGGAAATGTGGTTGTGCTCGTCGCACTTTACTTCAAGATGCCATCCATCGTTCCGCTAAATTCCAACTACTTTCCACCTGCAGTCGGTCAACCGTGTTCCGCTTTCACGCTGTTTTTTATCGGTAACAAGGGGTAATATTTGTTTATGAAATGAGCCGCCAAGGTCACAACCTAGTCCCACACGCGAATGGGTGCGCGCTTTGTCAGATCGTTTGATGGTATATGCGTAATTTGCCTCTAGTCCATACTTCTTGACATGATCTATAAGCGCGTCTTGGTCCGCAAAGACGGTCTGTGCGTTAAGTTTTGGCATGATGCGGTGTAGTCTAGTGGTGTGGTGTGGTGTGGCGTATTGTGTGATGTTGTCAAAACAAAAGTAATGGTGTGGTGGAAATAGTAAAGAATGCGCAACTATTATGGTGTGGTGGAAATAGCATAAAGTGTCATTCCCTTAATATTTACCACCCATCGAGTTCGAATCAAAACCCAAATTACCAAGATAACAATAATAAATATTCCAATTTTAAAAGTGCCCATAAAATAGGTACTCTACCTTCTAAGTAAAGCAAAACACCATGGCAACTGGTGTGTATTCGTTCCCGTTGCTCAAGCCGCGCGAGATCTTTGCGTGTCTAAGGGAAATGCGCGTACATGTGTCCGAAGAAGACATTCGCGCTTGTGATGCTGGTGCTGTGCGTACAGTACTAGAAGCTTTTATTGAAACAACTATGGGTGTCACACGTGAGGACATGGCACAAATTGCGTTCCCAGGTCTATCGACCTTGAGCTTCCCCGAGATCCACGCCGAGTCAATTCCCGAGCTTGTGTTCTACCGCAAAGCGCAGCAGTTACTGGCAGCCTGTGGCGTCGACGATTTTGGGCTGCGTGATGTGCTGCACCCGACGCCTAAGCGCGTCCGACGGCAGCTCAGCGCTCTTATTAACTTTGCCAAGTTCCGCGAGGAGCGACTGGCGGCCTTTAGTGATATTACGGGACACACGGACGAGATGTTGGAGAAAACAAAGGTGCTGCGTGAAGAGAACGCGGTGTTGAAACGAGAACTGGATCAATTACTGGAAGAACAGAAGGCCGAAGAGCCTGCACGACTGCAACTGCAGATGGAAGTGACGGATCTACAGAAGGAGATCAATTTTCTTAATCGACAACAAGCAGTGATGCATCATGAGAAGGACGAGAAGCGTGATAAACGCAAAGAAATGGAAGACCTTGTAGCATCTGCGAGGTTCAACAAGATTGAAGCAGAGACGGAAATTGAACGGCTAAAGGCGCAGATTGTTACGTCGCCTGACCGTGTTAAAGGAGAACTTGCGTCCATTGCAGAAACAGTGGAGAAGGCCAAGGATGATGTCCATGTGCTGGAAGAGAAACGCAGCGCGGTGCTGATATTCATTGACGTGTACGAAAAAGCAGAGAAGGAACTGGCAAGGACATTTACAGTGTTGGACGAGATCAAGCAGGAGATGAAGGCTTGCAAACAAGTGAAACAACAGGTTAAGGCCGCCCGCACACGTATTCGTGAGCTTAAAGTCCTTACGATGGAGACACATACTCGTCGACAGCGGCTAGAGAAGATTGTCGAGCTGAAAAGACGAGATCTATGGAAGTTTATCGAGGAAGCACGGATGGCGGAAGAAGCTGCGACAAAAGCACTTCAAATTGCTCGCGAAAAGCTTAAGAAGCTCGAGTCGGTACATTTCGAAGTCCGCCAGCGCATTATCCAAAACACTGATGCCAGCCGCAAGGTCGAGCTCAAGATGAGGGAAGAGGAAGCTCAGTATGAGAAAGAGCTGAAGAACCTGGAGCAAGTAAGTTTGTGGTCCGTTCATGTGGTGTGGTTGTGATTTCGGTGCTGACCTTCGTCTTGATCACTACAGATGTACGCTCGTCTTCAGCAAGCCGCAGAATACTACAACCAGCAGGTGCTTAAGGCAATTCAGTCAAGTTCCTAAGCGCATCTAAATGCTGTTGGAAGTGCAAGTTGCACTTGATATCAACTCCAGAGCTTCATCATACGCTAGGAGATGTTCTAGTTACTTCTATGGATTGTAATATGTCTTAAGTGGTTCTCACATGTAGATTAACAAAGCCACGGGTCATTCATTTTTCTTACTTTTTAACAAAAGCTTCTTCCGTCAGAGTGCGTCTAGAAATCCTGTTTTTAAACACAATCACAGGAGATATGGTTCACTGACTGCATTTCAATCTGGAAATTGACTTAGCAGCTCGGTGCCATTTGTTTACTCGGCACTTAGTTGCTGCATGGTGACTTCGTCGGCGATAATGCCTTACGATGATATTATCGTTGGTGAAGTTGACTACTGCGATGTCTTGAGAATGAAAAAATCTGCTCCAACACCTTCAGTTTCTCGTACTCTGTATCAAGTAGCCGCTCATGCAGCACGAATAAACTGTTACGCATCGTTCATTCACCAAGCTGCATGCATTGTTCCATCTGAAAGGTACTTGCAGCACACTGGACGCTCAGCGATGGAATAGTTAGTTAGCTTATTGGACAACAGCACAGCTTCGACATGGCGAAAGCGGAAAAGGTAGGCTACATCAAACGAGATGGCTATTCGTCTTCCAAGGAGGCGACCTCGCTAGCCTCTACACATACGATGATGTTGGAGGAAGCCATCAAAGTCACTTCACACTTGAGCGCCGCAGTGAAGAGAAAACCAGCCAGTCGGCCCATGCACCATTGACCGTGTAGTAAATGAGCACCACGCCGGTCCTGTGGCCGGCTGCGGCACCGAGACTCATCTCCCATTACTCACACTCGTGCTCTTGTCATAGGGCGATGCAATCATAGTGTTCACCTCCATTCCTTGGTGCAATATCGATTTTGTTGTTCACGCGCGTAGGAGGTGGCTGGCGGTCCCTTGAGCGAAAATCATACTGCAGTATAGTCGCACTGCGCGGTGTAATAGAGAAGCCGCTGTCTGAGTCGCACAGGCTTCTTCAGTCATCCATTTTCTTTACAGTCGGTTATAGCTCTCTCCTCTTGCAATCTGTCACCATACTCGCACCTAAAAGCCACCCACGAGTATTGCGTCCTACGTGATATCGTGCCTTGCTACCGTCATGCTCCACCGAAACCGAATAGTTCAGCTCGTTTCGAATCTACTGAGCCGGTAGAATATTTGGGAGATGATGTATGGTCTTCTCGCCCTGTAAGTCGAAAGATGTGTCATTACCAACCTTTTGTCCTCTCGTGCTGTCAACGTCATGATTTACATCCTTCAGATTAGTGCCGTGGGCTCGTGGGGACGAAGCTTTTGCGGGCGGCGTAATTATGACCCGTGACACTTTCGTTCACTAACGGAGGCTTTGATGTCGGTGGATGTGCGCATTTAATTGCCAGGAGTGATGGAACCTTCTTCAAAGATCTCGAACAGTTTAGCGCTGCGCGGCCATTTTGCTTTACTTACTGCGGCTTATCATAGCGCGAAAATCGACGACCATGAATCATATTTTCTCATGAAGTATGGGAGGTATTCCAAAATATGCGGCGTCGCTTCTCGTTGGCTGCAAAACTGAAGATGGCACAGCTGATGCCCCGATCCAGCACTACTTCGTAAGCATTCAGCACCAGCAAGAACGCTAGCCTGCGGTCAGCAGGCAGTGGAGTAACGCCCAACAACTCGTTCTGGAAGGACGCATCCAGCCTCATGCAGCGCGTCCGATTGAGCTGAACGTATTCGTCGTCATCGGGATGCCGAGGTACCTCAGCACCGTCGTTCGGTAGATCCAGCTCCAGCAACATCAACATTTTATTGGATTCCAAAGCAGCATGTAGATGGCGCACACCATTGGCGCCGATCTCATTGTGTGCGACACGCAGCTCCTGAAGTACTGGAACACGATCTAGTGCTTGCCCACGCAAAGCTGTTGTGAGCACGTTCAACGAGTCAGTACCAATGAGGTTGGCATTAAGATTCAATTTCCGGAGATTTTGGCCTAGCACTCCACTCAGAGCATCGACGAGTAGCTGGAGTTGTAGAACCCTGCAGCCTTCTAAATCCAAAATGTTAAGCTGCTGACAGCCGGCTAAAATCGCGTCCAGGTCCATGGCAGATAACGCGTTGCGCCGTAGCTCTAATGACCGCAGTCGTCCACCAAAACCTCCGACAAAGCGCTCCAGCGCCTCCGTCGTGGTCCGAGAAGCTGCCATGTCATTCATCACGAGCTCTGACAGTACTGCCAAAGCGGAGCTTAAGCCATCTTCAGTATGCTCCCACCTCATTGCGTGGTTTGACCGAGTCCAGGCTACTCCGAAGGCTGGAATCACAACGCAAAGCCATTCATGTTGACCTGTAAGAGTGGCCACAACTTCCCACTCTTTGGATTCGCCAGCACCAAGACTAGTTGCTTTGACCTCTTTCTCGATAATGCGGAGTCGCGGAGAGGCTTCTGTCGGCGACGAGTTTAGCTCAGTATTACTGGACAAAAGACAACAAACGGTCGTGCCACGACAAGAAATTGCTTGAGGTGCTACATCTTCAAGCCACTGCAAGACTGCTGCTTGAGGGTTACGAAGACTTTCGCGCCATGCTTCACTGTCTATGGGGAACATAGGGTTTTCTGACAAGTCTAAATGTCGAAGTCCTGACCGCCGACCGCGAGAAATCATGGGACGAAGTCCAATCGCTAGCCACTGCCAACAAGTCTTGCGGTCAGCTGAATCCACCAATGAAAGTGTACACGCCAGAGAGAGATCCTCTAGACTTGTGCATCTCAAAGCTGAGCAAATACAACCGACATGGTGGTAGCTCAACGAGTTTTTTGCCAGCGACAAGCGCTTCAATGATGCCTTGCACCCTCCCTTGACACCGAATGCTTCACCCACAAAAGCTCGAAATGCCGTCCAATTTGTTGTTGTGAGTGCTCGGCTCAAGGCGTTTTCCAACACGAGCTCATGTAGCGGTAGCTCACTCTGTCGTTGTCTGCACTCATCCAACAAGTCTGTCAAAGCCATCAACTCGTCACTCTGCATAGAATTTTCACTCAAATCTAGCGACGTCACACTGAACCTCACCGGCGCGTCATTTGTCCATCGTTCAGACACGAGCACCGACTTGAGTCTCTTGATTGAATCTGCTGTTAGGCGGCATCTGACGAGCTTCAGAGCCACAGGAACCAGTCGACAGGACGACTTTATCTCTTTATTCACTTTTACACTTGCGAATTGAGACTGAGGAAGCCGCGATTGAGCGAAGAACTCCGTCAACGTCTCGAGCAGCTCCGTCGTGAGCGTACAACGCGAGAAATCCAGCACAAGTCTTGGAAACTGCTCGTCTTGCAGCTGTAAATGATGCTTGCGAGTTTTGAAGCCATTAACCATTAGATTCGAGGCCAGAACTTGCTCCCAGAAGGCCTGTTTAACCAGCGCATAGCGCTGGAGCGAGTGTGAGTAGCTCTCCATTGTAACTAGAGCTTGGAGCGCGTGCAGCACGGAGGGAGGCGCGATGCGGTAAAAATTCACTGCAAGTGACAATGATGCAGCCTCGTATTCTGCTGCGCTGTCATTGCCGGGCAATGGACTCAGTAGTCCGCGTAGCGCAGTAGCAATACTGTCGCCGAGAGATTGTTCCGCCATCGGAATGATTGTTACTTGAAGATGATTGTGCAACATAGTATAGAACAAACAACCGATCACTTTGGTGCAACGTAAACGGCAAGAGATCTAAAAAACTACTTCACGATAGGAGCTTTGCATAGATGGTACTTGTTACATCCTGCTGGTTGGGAAGGAAGAAACGCACAATTAAACCTGTTATAGCACCACCACTAACTGACAAATTACCGAATGCGGATTGATATGAAGCTGCAAATTTCACTACTTTTTCAACCGTCCATACTCAAGGTGTAGGCTTTGCATTATCCCCACACAAAGTACTGCGTCATCTCGTCTCCTTTTCTTTCAAGTACACATGCACGTGAAAGATATCGATCGAGCGCGACAAGTTCTCGTCGTAGTTCCATCTTTCCACTTGAGGAGCATTCTCTCTTATCCAGTTGCACACAAACTCCTCGATCTCTGTGTGGTTCATTTCATGACGACTCCATAACGTCCAATGGCTGATTCCTTTCGGAGTATCGTATGGAAACATATTAGGCTCTAGAACAGTCTCCTCGTGATGCAGGGTCGTAGCGAGAATAAGCTCTTCTCTCGAAATGAACATTCGGTCCACCATGTCCATATGAGCCCATTTACGCTCAAGGCATTCGTCTGTTCGGTCCCAATACTCAACGGCTAAAGTCCTCATGGTTTCACCATTGACTCGATTTGGGCAACTTTTTTCTTCTTGATACGAGTCTTCGTGGCGGGTACAGGATAGTATTGTTGCAACGCTTCCTGTCTTTTGACTTTGTAGCGAGCTACCGGGTGAGAATTCTTGCAACCTCGTTGTTGTCTCCTGTTTATCGACTAGTAGCATTGTGTCTGACTTGTTGTAACGTTGCGTGCGGTAGCGTGCAAAATGCGGAATGAGACGCAACTTCAACTTACGTGACCATCACTCTGCCACTTCAACATTAAGTCTATTAACGTTATCTGGCCTCTATTTTCACTCAGTCCGCAACCGACGACGACGGGCTTTGTACCCATGTATCAATCACTTCAAGCCTCTTTGTCCTCGTCAATTCTGAGTACAGCAACCGCGAGATGATCCTTTACGGCCTTCAAGAACATCGCCACCTTGTCTAGGTCTTTCACGCCAGGACAGCCCTTTACTTCCACGCCACTGCTGACGTCCACGCCCACAGGACGGCCAACCGAAAGAGCCTTCACAACATTCTCCGGGGTGAGGCCGCCAGCCATAAGACACGGGATTCGTGCGTGGGTAAAGATGGCCGCAATTTTCCAATCAAATGCCACCCCAGTGCCGCCCTGTTGGCCCTTCATCGTGGTATCAAGCAGGATAAAGTTAGCAAGACCCTTCTGGACCTGCTGCAGAATGGCTTCAGGGTCAACGCCGTCGCTTAGCGTAGTGTCCGGTAGATGCAACGCACGAATAGTTGGGTACTTGATGTCTTTGCAGATCGCAAAGCCCTCGTCACCGTGCAGTTGCACCAAGTCCAGTCCGATCTCACCCGCAGCAATGTTCATTGCAGCGGCCGTCTTATTCGCAAACACGCCCACGACGAGAGGCGCACGCGAGCAAGCCTCGCGCAGGGCCAGAACATTCCTGTGGAACCAGTCATTGTTCCCATCGAGGTGCGTCTCTAAGATATCCGGGAGGATAGGGCCTGTACGCTCGCCATACTCACGCACGGCCTTGGCAATAGCCTTCGCTTGCTCTACCTCAACATATCGAGGCGAGTGCTCCGCCATGATTATGCCAATCATATTGGCGCCACTACGCAACGCAGCCAGCGCATACTCCACCGTTGTGACGCCGCACACCTTCGCGATCGGTGGGAGCAGAGGAAGATCTCCCAGCTCGGTACGGTGCGTCACATTCTGGAAAAGATCTTTCACTGTCGTTGCAATGTCGCCGCTTTTCATCAAATACTCACCAATCAAAATGCCGCGTGCACCGCACTTCTCGTACTTGACTACATCAGCATGTGAGCGAATGCCACTGAGAGCACAGAGCGTGATGCCCTCGCGTCCAAGCGATAATCCTCGTTCACGAATAGCGTCTGCGACTCGAGCAGTCGTGTTCATGTCCACCTTAAACGTGCGAAGGTCGCGATTGTTCACGCCGATCAACTGAGCTTTAACAGCCAGAGCGATATCCAGCTCTTGGACGCTGTTTACTTCGACTAAAGCGCACATACCCAGGTTGCGGGTCACCTAAATGTCATGAACACCCATTAGCTATTCTTTTCTCAGTCAACATATCTCCTGCAATTCGAGAGCGGAACGATCTTACCTCGATGAGCTCATTGAGCTGCTCATGGGACAACAGAGCCACAATAAGCAGCACGCAGTCAGCACCGTAGGCCCGAGCTTCCAGTAACTGGTACACGTCAATAATAAAGTCCTTGCGAAGGATAGCTGGACGTTGGTCCATGCCCTCTACGATTTTTCTGGCCGCCATCATGTCCTCCAGCGACCCCTTGAACCACTTGGGCTCCGTCAGCACAGAGATCATACTAGCGCCTGCATCAGCGTATGCCTTGACATGCTCTGAGCAAGGCAGATATCACATTAGTCTCCATCTCGTTGTCGTGCAGTAGCAACACCATTTTCCACGCACCACGAAGATCCAATGCCATAGCAATGTCTCCCTTACTGGGACTTGCTCGCTTAAACTCGGCTGCTAAAGCAACATTCAACCATCCTTCTTTCTGCAAAATTGCAATGACACAGTACAGTATAATAGCGTGATAGTCAGCAAGAGACAGCGATGACTCCCTCTGTGCCAAACTGACGCACCGCAGGCGCGTTGAGACGCTCGAGCACGGGCAAGGGTGGGCCGTAAACACTCTCCGTGCTTTCAATCTTGTTTCTCAGCTGCTCAGCTGACGTGACTTGCTTGGCAGCTGCCACGTTCTAGGCGGCGCTGAGCTGCGATCTCCTCGAGGATGTTACCCATGTTTGGCTAGTTGAAAAGTGACGATTAGCGACACGATTTAGGGATGCTTTTCACAAAGCAAGGTCATGTTGCTGGCTTTCAGCTATACGGTAGTTAAATAGGTAATTAAAGCTCAATAATTCCGATAGCGCTGATTTTTCGACGATAAAATAAGCCATTTTCCCTGCGATATCTAAAAAGTGTCACCCAAATAAGGTGGTGAACGATCGAAACTGAGTTTTGTATCGGCCTATGACGCATCTTACTTAGTCTACGTACAAACTAGTAATTCGACGTAAATATCGTTTACGTTTCCCGTGTGGGAATCCTAGTCCACAATAAAGCCAATATTGTTGACTATACAATTCTTCTGATCATGTATAGCATGTATTCAACAAGTGCAACCGTTCGCGTGCACTTATCCGAAGGCGTCTGGACATTATGGGCTTTGGGCTTTGCGAGTCAACCGAAACACAATGACAAAGCCATGACTTCAACTTGGGTCACTTACAGGCCGTTCGATACAGCATTTTTCTTGTCCCCTTTTGAGTTTCCTCTTTTACGATGACCTCGCTGTTGCCACTTTTTCTTTTTGTGGGTCGCCTTGCTTGTAATGTCACCTTCACCTTTGCCTCGTGTAGCCAGTGATGGCGATGCAACAACCTCGACATGACGCCCATTAAATGGCTCCGTCTCAATTTTCTTGAGACCACAAACTTCCGTTTTGGCTGTCGGATTCATGCTGCGCTTGGTACTAGGCTTTGTTTTGCCCATGGGATGCTGTTGCTGCTTCTTGCGACGGTCCTTCCGTTGCGAAATAGTAGCGGAAGAATTCCCACCCAGATTCAGACGGAGAACGTGTCGACGAATATTTTTTTTAGCCTTGTAATCAATTCGGGGCTCACCTCTGTCGCCTGCAGCTGCACCTTCATTGCTGTCGATTTCGTCGAAATCTTCCAGCAGACACTTGCTCGTTGGATGCTCGGGCGACAGACACTTTTGGCAGGGTGGTGTTGCGAATAAAGCCTGGTGATGAAGCCATACGCAACCTTCGCGACCATCGGACGCCTTCCAATCGATTCGTGTTCTTAAAGACAAAGGCCGAGGACATTTTTCTGCCTGCGTTAACACTTCAACCTCCCACCGCTTGTTCTTATTTCCAGCATCGACAGTTTCGTCAGTAGTAGAATCGAGAGTTGTTGCTTCCACCACCTTGCCGACACGAAACGATTTCTGAAAACCTTTGAAAAACAGCTCAATCGTCTCCTCTGTCAATTCTTCGTCAGCGCTTCGCAGCGTCAGTATGTACGACCGCTTTACCTTGCCTGCCTGTTGCTGGCTTGGTATGCTCTGCACCCTCTTTGCTGACAAAACATCTTCCTTCATTTGCTTCGCCTTTTCCACTCTACCAGCGGGTTTCTCGACAGCGCAAACTTCCTCGGAAAAGCTCTTACCTTGAACCAGCATTTTGTGTGCGCGACGGAACTCGCAAATGATTCTCTCTTGCCCCTTGAACTGTAGAACGCAACCTAGATCACGCCCAGTTTCCAGGGGATCCTCAATACTCATACGCCACGTCTTGGCCTTGCGACTACCCCATTGCTGAAGTTTTAGTGCTGGTGTCTCTGGTGATCGCACAGTCACCACACGCTTTGCAAAATCAAAGTGTGTAGCGTAAAACTCGAAGAACCCAACCAACAAAGTTGTCATCGACATATCTGATGGGTCTCTCGCTGATGTAGGCTGATGGTAAGCTTGAGCAAGATCGCGATCCTCGCAAAAGGCGATGTTGATGTCGTTGTAGTAAACTGGTTGAACGCATGCGTACTCCAACAGCCTAGGATTTTGCAGATTTGGAAGCACTTGAACCACCTGCAGGTAGAAGATACACAGCAGCACGAATGAATAAGAGCTAAGGCATCCTATCGAGGCATCATTAATTTCGCGTTGCTTCGCCCAGTGCTTTATAGCAAGCCCCAAAGTGCGTGCACGATCGTCGAAGGATGCGTACGCTCGCAAAAGTGGCGTGTTGCGTGTAGCCAAGACGTTTTCAAAACACAAGTCACACTCATAGTCACGACCGCTACGTGTGTGCAAGAAGCGGATGATAGGGACCCGGGCGCCAGATATCACATGACGCACTTCGCACTTTGCAGCTCGCTGCAAAATGAATCGTATGAGGTAAAGATCTTCACTGCGACGTCTGCTGGCAGCAATAGTTGCTTTCAAGTGTGCAGACTTACCATTCGTACAGGCAACATCGAAAGGCTCTTCGACTCCAAGCAACTTCGTGAGCTCAGACACGATAGCGTCGCGCAGTAACCGCATTTGAGTATAGAAAAACTCTAGTTGACTGCGCTGCTTGGACGTCTTACTATCCTTCTTACTGGATCGATCCAGTGTGTTGAGTGCCTGCGCGAGCTTTTCGGTGCTCGTTTGTACCTGTGCGCGTAGGCCTCTCAACTGCTCAGCAAGTCCAGACTTTGTGCTTGGTTCATGCCCGTTTTCACCAAGACTTTCGTCAATCAAGCGCTGAAGCTGACGTGTCCCTACAACTTCTTGCGGTGGATCTACATCTTTCCCGATACTGCGGCCATTAGGTAAAAGACACATATCCAGATCCGAGCTTCGCGAGCCGTAGCGACTCACAGAGCTACCAAACAGAACCACCTCACAATGCCGCCACTTGCTCACTTCCCGTCGAAGAACAGTCTGAATATCACGTGCTACACGTAGACGCCGCTCTTCCTCCTCTGGATCAATACTCGAGAGTTCCATAATTCGCTGCAGCTCCATAGACCACATCTTTTTCGCTACTGAAGATAACTCTGCTACAGAAGCTTCATCCAGTGTCTGCGTTTGCTCAGACTCCATTATAAAATTCAGGAACGACTCTACCTGTTCACAGGCTGTTTCTTTCGCCTGTCTCGACTTATTCTTGCGTAACCGCATTGTTTTCTCGCATTTTTTCTTTTTCTTCTGGGCTGTAGTCTCCTCGACATCTCGGTTAATGTTGAGATTAACTTCCAGCAGGTTTGCTTCCATTTTGTCCACTCCAGTTTCATCCTCTTTCAGGATTTCAATCCATCGTCTCAGCAACTCCTTGTGGTCGCTCATGGCTCTGCTCAGTATCAGTTCCGTGGCATTTTCCACCACTTCAGCCACCACGATCCTCTCCAGAGCCCCTTCTAGCTTCGTATTTGCCTTCTCTTTTGCTTTCTGCTGCTTCAGTCTCGAGGCTCTCAGCACAGACCCCACCTGTTCTACAATCTCCTCCACAGACCACAAAGGTTTCTCAATATCCACCTCGTGTTCTTCTTCCTCGGCATCATCAACCTCCTCTGGAACCTCTCTCTTTGAGCTCAAAGCGAGCTCCTCACGTAGTTTTCGCTGGATTTTAAACAGCGCAAAGACCCGCTTGGTGGCGTCTGCAAACTGGGGCGTCATGGCGTCCCCCACGCCATTACAGCGAGACAACAGCCACTGAGCAAAGAACAGGTCGCCTTCTCCCTCTTTGAACCACAACGCGTTGCGATAATCACCTACAGGGGCAGCAGTATCCACGTTACTGGCTGGTACCTTCGACGTTGACTTGGGATAAGTTTTTTGTGGCTTCTGCTTGTCCTGAAACGAAGCGGATTTCGACTTCGTTTCTTGCAAGACGTTCTTGTTCTGATGCGTATTACAGAGATGTGGTGTATGCCGTGGGGAAGTCGTAGCGACCTCCGACACGGACGCGTTCATGATGCCAAGGGGGTCGAGATCCGTTCGTGGCAAAAGTGACGGATCGCCCGGCTCATCGATTGGGTAAAAATAAAAATATAGTTTTGACCAATGGGCAGATAAAAAGCGCAGCTTCAAGGAGAAATTATAGAGTTAACAAAGTAAATGTAAGATTACATGATTATTAGGATTGATCTGCATGAATGTGAGCCATTTCTTAAGGCCGTTTTTGGCACATGAAGCTAAAAAGGTACCCAGATTTAAAACATCTGGCCCTGTGGAAAAGAATTCAAGTTCAGCTCGCACTTAATCGAAAGACAGTGCCCTATTCTACGTTTCGGAGCAATTCGGACCAATAAGCGGCTTCAAAAAGAAGTAACGGCCTCCGTCCAGACTAAGCAGACTAACGACTTGAGCCCCACGACCGGTAGCGCTGGCGTCCACCGAGCGACATCACCGAGCATTCAGGTGCGTCGGCTTTTCCGGTTTGAACCGCCGTTTCTTGATTACCCGTCAATTCCCTGCTATTCTCGCTATGCTCGCTACCAAGCGCCCACGTCGCGCTGTCTCGACCGAAGACTCACTGGACCCGCGCGTTATGACGGAGAGACAACAATTGGCGTTCCTTTTACGTGCTACGGCGCCATCTGATTCTTCCGAGAGTTCAAGTAGCTGCTCTAGTTCCTCCAGTGACGATGACGAAGACGAAGAAGACGAACCACCACGTCGACGACGTGTAGTAAAACGCAGCAAGACGCATGATTCTCGTACGTTGGAAGAATTTTTGTATCGTTCATTTACTTGGAAACAAACGTTTTTTATTGATTTTTTTGGTGTTTTTTTATCTTTTGTTGTGGCAGGAACTAGTGGCTCAATGGGGAAGACGCCACTGGACGCTCCTCCTGTCATTTATTGCGGTCGTGGCCGACCACCTAAGAATTCAATTAAGTTGCCAAGGAATACCCAGCATCCTTATACTCGACCCGTAAGAATGTCGCCAAGGAGTCATAATGCACGGGCCCCGGACGCCGCGATGGCTGCTGCTGTAGCTGCAAGTCTAAAAGCTAAGAAGTTAGCGACTAGTCGAGCAGTAAAAGCGGAAAGGAAAGAAAGAGCCATTCCCGTGAAGCAGGAGAAGACCAGTCCGTCCAATGCTTGTGATGTAGCCATGCTGAATAACTCGGCCGGAGCGCTACTTTGTGCGCTGTGCTGTGACCTGGAGCCGCTCTGCGATGCGCCGCTGTTCCTGTGCCCGGCATGCGATCAAAAGTACCCGACGCAGCGAACGCTCGGTCGTGTCTGTATGACATAGGCAAAGGAACGGGGCAAGGGAGAATTGACGGGGCGAGAAGAGGTGAACGCTAACAGCAGCAAGTGAGAGAGAAAGCGATGTCGGTGCAGGCGCAAGTATTCGCTCGGACCGCGTGCTGGAACGATTTACCTGCGGAAATGGAAAGAATGGCACATGGACGATGGAAGAGCACGATTGTATTGGCGTGTCTTGTCTATAGCTGTCTATGTGGATTCGATATGATTAAATGGATGCCTGCAATTATTCGACGCTGTCGTCTTCCTGCCTATCCGCTAGTCTGCTACTCTATTCTCGAATTTGCAGATCTATTTTGAGATTGTATTTCTGCTGCGTCATATATATATATTACCCCCAACTTCTCATCTTTTCAGTAGCAGCACCGTGACTCATGTCATGATCACCAAGTACGTCAGCAGGAGCAGAATAAGCACCAGCACAATAATAACGAGAAAGTTTTTCATACCCCCGGACTGTTTAATGAGCGCTTGTGTCTGTTTTGTCACGACCTCTAGCGCCTGCTTGGCCTTATCCGTATCGTCGCTCAGATCATCAAGCATTCTACAAGCAACAGTAGCAAGCAACAACGATTGAATCAGAACCCAAAGGACCAGATACATAAAACTCGCCAAAAAAACAGCAGTTGACTCACTTGTTCTGCGTGTCCAGCTCCGAACTGATATTAAGACTAATATCTCCTAACCGCTTCACGGCCGAGTGCAGCTCGTCCAGGTTCTCGTCCTGCTTCTGGCGCTCAACTTGCTGTGCACGATATTGGTCGGTTACATAGTCGTCGTCATGATCATCGGACTGTTATGACAAATATATCAATAATTTACAATCAATACCTACACCAAAAGATAGAGAAGACGATCAACTAACAGATGGTATGTACCTCGTTGCCTAATTTGGCGTACAATGGCGGCTTTCCTGTCGGAAATGAAGGCGCCATTTTCAAACCAACGACTTGTTCTTACTCCGTGACGCTTTCGAGAATAAAACCAAGCTTTGTGATTGGTCTAAATGACTTTTATTCCCAAAAACGCTGCAAAAGGGAGATGGACAATATGATGAAGCGACACACGGATGCTAAAAAACCACGAGTGAGGCTGCAACGGTGACATGTTTTGCTGATGTTTTTATAATTCTCTTGCTCATTGCAAGCTATCAACTCGTTCTTTCTTTTCATGTCACGATACAGACACCATTAAAACTTCATCCGGAAGATTTTTTTGCGCTCATTTGGTCGTCGATCTTGTAAAACGCTTTTTGCTGTTCGAGATGCATCCTCCGCACGTCGTTTTGGTTTCTGTTTCCTCCTTATAATGTAGATGCAAGGAGTTCTTCAACTTTCTTGAACGTTTCAGATCATGCACGTCCGTCGACCTAGCGCCTGCTGCGTTGGATATTTCCGGTCGCACGTAGGGCATAAGAACAGCACGTCCGAGAACGACGCTTCGTGCGCCGTATCATAGTCACAACACAGTGCACATTGCGGTGCTCTGTGTCCCAAGGACTGCACTCCATCCAATTGTAAAGTGGAGAAACTGGGTCTCATTGCCACCTTCTTATCACTTCTTGCCTTGTGTCTCTTTTGCGTCGTCACAACTCGTCGCTTCATGTCTGCAACGTTTAGCTTCTTCTTCTTCTTGTTTTTTATCGGACGTCCACGGTTTCGATGAATCAGCGTAGTAGTTGCTTTCTGCTGCTCGTGTTGTATCCTTTTAGGCTCGTTTACTTGACGTGGCGACGTCACGGCTTTGTCTTCCGAGCTTGTATCGTTCAAATTCACGACTTTCAATCCCTCGCGAGCTGTTGTTCGTAATAAAAACGTCATTTGTTGCCGCTCCGTCATGAGACTCGGGTTCATGTGTAAAAGATGGTCGTCTTCCTCCTTCTCCTCCTCCTTCTGTGTCCAAAGCTCCGGTCCCCGATGTGCACGTTGATGTTTCCTGGCCATTGACCTTCTTGATTGTTTGCTTCGTATTTCGTAGCTCTTAGTCAACTGCGGATGTCGCTAGCTTTTGACCAATAGAACCAAAGCTTATCACTTCAACTTGCCGAATATTAACTTCAAGGCCGTAATAATTTGATCGAACTTCACGCCAAGAGACTTTTTGTTACAATAGCTTTTTTTGGAGATACGAAACCATTGGCGCAGCCTACAATGACTCGATAAGCTCTTTCATCTTATCGAAGGCACTGTTTCTAACTCTGGAAAATGCTGCATGTCCTACAGCGTGCCAAGTGGCGCACTGTTGGCCGCGTGATGCTCTTAAGCCTTTCGTAGCTGTCTACAATATGCTTGTCATCTGCACGCTCTTCGCATAGTCGTATAGTCTTTTTCTAGAATTATAGATTTAGGGAAAAATAAAAGTATTGCAATATATTTATACAAACGTTTTTTAGCGATTATACATGTAGTTTATGTAACTACGATTTATTTGCACGAACAATCATCGCTTGATTCGAACGTTACATCCTTTTCGGCCCTTTTCGTCGTCCTTCCCACCTGCTGGTTTTATCTGATGGAAAAACACCATGATTTTCCTGCTCAGATAAGTCTGTTTCACGTTGCTGATACTGCTGCTTCTGGTGCTGGTGGTTGACGCCGACAAGTTCGGGCATTGCGGCCTACATCGACAATGTCGACGTCGCACAGGAGCTTCCAAAGCAGCGGCGACATGCTCATAATGTGATAGAAGTCGCTGTGTTGACCCCGTTGGCCGGCTACGCGTCTGAACTTGCAGAGGATTGCAAAGACCGGCCTATGGGACAGCTAAGACATAGTCAAGCAACACATGCATGCAGTGTTTGAAAATGTCGTGGTTAAAGAAATATCTCGACACGCATGCATCATCGACTCTGCCTTCAGCAAAGGCGAAGATATCATGCTCCATGTCGTCATCGCTTTTGTCGTTACCAATGTTGACAGGTGGCGGAGGCGGAATTTTTTCTGATGACTTCTGAAACATGTATGCTGCATCCACAAAAAGCAGCTCGATTGCTTCCGGGCTATGGCCAAGAGCCCAAAATAGCTGCGGCCATTCGTTGAGGTCTGATGTGTGTCCGGAAAATTTGGTACATGAAATATATGGGTACCCATGGGTAAGTGGGTTGGGTGAAACCAATAACCGATACCCAACCCATGAGACTGGGTATGGGTAATTACCCACTGAGTCTAAAGCTGGGTACCACCTCTACTTGACGAGTACGTGTCAATCCCAATAAACGACTGCGTCATTCGGCCATGTCCACCATTGGCCACGAACGCTCGCAGCAATTAAAGTTCTGGAAGAACACGAAATTTATCGGCAACATCTTCATCGTGCTGCTATTCCTGTATGTACGCTTGACTTTCCAATACAATAAGGTAGACAATGTCTCAGCAGACGCCGGCGACCTGCACGGCGCTACGAACCAGGACTGGCAGCATCCGAATGACAACGCCAACGAGCAAGGGAATCTCAGAAGCAAGAAACATCTTCCAGTGCAGACGCTAGTTCAGACTGATGCGTTTAACCACACGACAGGTGGAAACGTGGGAGATGGAGCAGATCAGGACGCAGCAGAAGAAATGCTGACAGACGAGGGCGTCCCGGTCGAGGAAGACTCCGACAAGACCGTCCCTCTTGTTTGTCCTTGGAGCAGCAAGAAGCTCGACGTCTGGCCGTTCGTAATGCCATGATATTCGCGTGGGGAAACTATGAGGAGTACGCGTTCGGAGCGGACGAAATAGGCCCAAAAGATGGCCGGAATTTCAGCAACGTCTGGGGCAACATCGCCTGCTCGCTTGTCGACGGCCTCGACACGCTCTGGTTATGGATTTGAAGGACGAATTTCAGCGTGCCAGAGACTACGTGGCCAATTAACTTGATTTTTCGCACTTGGGGCGCGATGGTAATAGTGTATCAGTATTCGAGACAATCATCCGTGAAGTGGGTGGGCTCTTGAGCGCGTTTGAGCTTTCTGGGGATGCTGTTTTTAAGCAAAAAGCCGAGGAAATCATGGACCTGCTTACACCTGCTTATGATAAAAATGAGGGTGTCTTTTATACCATCTTCAATCCGTACACGAAGGAGAAAAGTTTACGTCTTGGGCTGATTACCGGTAAGCGTTGGCTTCCCTGCCTACATTACAATTTCTATATGTAACCCGCTATTACGTTGCAGGGCCACTATCGCTGACGTAGGCACACTTCAGCTTGAGACACGCTACCTGTCTGACATTACAGGAGATCTGAAATATGCTGAGATGGTAGGAAGCCTGAGTCAACTATCTCTGCATCTTTGTGTTCTCACAATTTTTTTCGTGTTTTTATACATGGCAACGCAGGGCGATGCGTTCTACAAAATCGTACAGCGTGAAGGATCATACAACAAAACGGGCTTGTTTCCGGTGCACTTCGATACCGTCCGTGGCGAGTTCGCTACGAATAGCAGTCTTATCACAGTTGGCTCATTTGGCGATTCTTTCTATGAGTATTTGCTGAAAGTGTACATTCACAGTGGCAAGCGCCAGGAGGACAAGTATCTCCGCGAATTTTATGATGATGCAGTGAGGGGCATTGAGGAGTACCTGCTGTACTTCTCCATCCCAGATAATCTTTACTTTTTGCATGAAATAACAGTGCCGTCGCTCTCGGTGTGTTACTCGGGTGTCTTCGTTACAAAATGCCGGTATGGTCTTTGACATTGTGTTCGTTTTTTTTCTGTAGCGTGATCTAAGCATGAGTCATCTCGCTTGCTTCGTTCCGGGAATGTTAGCACTTGGCACACTGTCCGAGACACAAGATCACGCAAAGAATGCCAAACATCTCGAGTTAGCGGAGAAGCTAATGGAAACTTGTTACCAGTTATATCACCGCCAGGTGACAGGATTATCCCCTGAGCATGTGAGCTTCCCGATGATGCAAGCGGTTGATTCCAGATACATTCTTCGACCAGAGACTGTCGAGAGTCTCTTCTATCTGTATCGCATCACCAAGAATTCCAAGTACCGTGAGTACGGCTGGAAGATTTTTGAGGCGCTGGAGACCCACGCAAAGACGAAGTACGGCTACGCTGTTGTTGCGAACGTAACAACGTTGCCAGCACAAACGGAGAACAAAATGGAGAGTTTCTTTCTTGCAGAGACACTCAAGTACCATTACTTGTTGCAGGCACCCGAGAGTCTCATTCCTCTTGACGAATATGTCTTTAATACCGAGGCGTATCCTCTCCGCATCCGCAGGAAAAACTAATCTCGCATTATCAAATCATTAGACAAATCAGTCGTTTAAAAATACATTATGTTTGCTTGAAGCCTGTCTTTTGAGTTCACACAAGCTACAGCATCGACCAAGTCCACGTCTCATGCGCCCATGTACCGTAATCAGCTTAGATATTTCCTTAAATTTGGATGATTTACAAAAAATGCCAATTATATTCTAAACTTCTCTTACTAATCGAATCTATTGGTTGTAGTAACTCATTAATGTTCATTTAAACTTATAAACAACTATTTAAGAGAATGGCATATTCTATGTAATAGTCAAAGGTTTTTGCTTGAAATTAGTTAACATTCACAAAGCTCGATTTTATTTTTAACGTACGCGTCCACCACTTCTCTCTTTTGAAAAGGATCTTCGGCCTCACGACGTCAAGGGTTTCGATCGCGTTCTACAACTTATAACACTCCTGGATCGATTGACAACTACCAAGCTCCACTCCAACTGCGATGGGACGAGCAAGCTAGTAAAGGCATGGCCCCGGCAGAAGAGATCAAATGGTCAGAAGGTAAGTCAGTGGTTAAGCTAGCGATCTGAAAGACCGATCGCGGTTACTCAACAAGAGCGCCCAAAATAAGCTGCGATCGCGTGAGGAGCTTATTTTCCACCTGATCGCCTCTATCCCCAACTCACATCAAGACCGCCATCCTCCAAGTCAACCGATAAGAGTGCAACTCGCCCTGTCGACGGGTACACAAGGTAAGGAAGGCAATGAGCTACTACAGATACCCCCACCGTAGTCGATCGTATGGACGCCATTGGTGAGTGGTGATTGCATGAACAATTCTTTTTGCGATTGCGTTATACAGTTTGGTTGCAATTGTCAAGATGCCCATAGTTCACTGACGCACAGCAAATATCTTGGTGGCACTGCACCTTGTCATTCTTCCTTCCGCGATGCATTCCGGCGTTCCCGACAAAGAATCAAGATGCATTATTGAGCCTCGTTCGGAGCTGATTAGAATAAACTTCTTTTCCTATTAAATCCTGTGCTCTCGCACCAATGGGTGGACGCCGGCGCTCTCGCGCTTGTGCAGTTCACCTGGCGCAGTTTACGCCCGACAAAAAGGTTTACGATGCCCTCGGTTCTTAGCTTGAATTTCAATAATACCATATAATATGCTTAATGAACATTAATTACGTTAGTATCATTTGAGACTCCTACTAATTGAAAAGCTCTGGTTAAATTGTAGCTTAGATATTACCGTGTACCATTTCAACCAGCGTTTACTTTTAAAAACATATAATAGCATAAGCCCCTCCAATATGTGTTTTTCAATAAGTTCAACCTTCAGTAAGTTATCAGATTACGGGATCCTCCTATTTACCTCCTTGTAGTTTATAATATCATTGTTGCTTTAGAAATGTCCGCGTAATTTATTGAAGGGTGATCTAGCACAACACAGATAAAAAAGTGCTATTTAGAAGATTATTTCTAACAAATCCATCTGGTATCTTTTATGCAATATTTCTCCTTTCAAATCTGAATTATTATAGACGCCATTAGCGGGATAGTTGCTTTAACATGGACAGAAAAGTAGACCTCCCTCGTTCTCCGACTTCATGTTGGACATGTAACGATCAAGAAATTTTATTGCGATACACGTTCTGTTGAGCATGAGTGCCGGCTAGACTTTATCAGCTGTGTCGATTTTTTAACCAACTGCGTGTAGCTCACGGTTAACACAGCTTCGTCACTGCTGATGAGGGCGGCCACAACCAGCACCAGGACTTAGCACGCTCTCATTAGCGGAACTCGATGAATTAGATGTGGGAAGCACGAGGACAAATGCGGAATGGAACAAATTGATTAGACATGTAACAGTGGAGCGAAGAACACTTGTGCACTGAAAGGAAGATTTGAAAGTGATTAATTTATCGGAGCATCCTTCCTACTACATATTTAGTATGCGGGTCTCATATAGTTATGACAACCGTCTAATCAACCTACTCGCCAAATCAATCCTGAGTGATTATCGTACTAACTTTGCCGTATACACTAAGCCTTGAAGTTCGGATTGTACCGTTAACCCTCAACATGCCCCCTCAATCCGAACTCGTACGGATGCCGCGCGCAGCTATCAGATACTTGTGACGCAAGCCGTGAAGCCCCTTTATGGTCCACAAATTTGCTGATATGATCTCAACTCTCCACTGGTGCCCGGACGACCTACTGCCCAAGTCTCTCCAATGCTGCTCATGGATATCGTGATGAAGAACGGAGTCTTAGCCGATATTGACCAGTTACGTCAAAAAATCGCGAGACGGCATAAGTAGTCAGAAGGCAAGCGGGTCAAGTATCGACATTAAACAAACGGGGGCGAAATAATTGGAGCGCAAGCTTCACGAGATGTTGGGAAACAAAGAATCCAGCTCGGAAGACAAGCCGACACATGTCTTTGGAAGCAAATTGAACTCTCTCTAGTGTTGATCAATTATATCCCAAAACCTATCACTATGACTTTTATCTGACAGTGTACGCTACGTGTCCTCCACCGCGTATACATTCCGTTTGTAGTATGTGGTCCACATCACTTACATTAGCATCTAGATCGCGGATCACCAGGTGTAGTCCACATGAATATCAGGATCTAGCATATGTGGCCCACATGGATACCGTGAAATCTTACTCTTTTGCAATGTCCGCCAACGTCGCAGTCGTCTCGCAGTACTCGAGCTTAACCTCACCACGCTTGACCTCGTCACGAATGTGATGGTGATGTCAATGCGCTTGGCACGGCCGTGCTGACAGAATTCTTCGTCATCTTTGTTTACGCTCTAATTATCTTCACGAATCATGAGCTCGGGTCCTTTCTTATTGGTAGCTGTCATGAATCACACAGCAAAAGATGAATCCACTTGCCTTCCTAAATCACCAAACTGATCGCAATGTTCTCTGCTTTACTTGTTGGCATGGCTGCTTCTTGCTGCCCAAGCTTGCTAGTGCACTCAATAGCATGAACACGTACCCTGAGGTCGACTCGCGGTCAGCGAGATCATCGACACAGTCTGCATCCGCATATCCACGGATATCGATCTTGTTACTCGGCTTGTAGCAGATTCCATGCGTCTTAGTGCCTATTAAGTAACGAAAGATGCGCTTGGCCGCATTCCAGTGCTCTTTTTGGGGGTTCTCGATGATCGCGACACATAGCTCACAGCATATGCAATGTCGGGGTGCGTCGCAGTAGTTAGATGCAGCAAAGCATCAACAGTTTCGCAAAACGGAGCACTAGTCTTGGTCCCGATATCACTCGAAACTAGTCGGGAACTGACGTCTACGGGACTTGCCACAGCTTGCACTCATACGTTCGAAATCGCTAGAGGATCGCTTGATTTCTACCACATAATGGTCCTGGCACAAAGTCACGCTTTCATCTGCACCGTCCAAAAGTTTGATCCCAATAATAAAAGCACACTTGCCGATGTCAGTAATTTTAAGGCGTGTCTTGAGATCACTTTGGTACGCGCAATCAACTTGGGTGAGTTTTCAGTCACCAACACATCGTCCACGTAGACTAGTACGAGCACACAGTGATCGTCTGGATCCAAAACCGAAAGCTGGAAACCCATCGAGCATACAGACTCGTCAAAGGTCTCTTTCCACCCACGCAAAGCTTGTTTGAGGCTGTAAAGTGCCTTTACTAATTTCAAACAGTTGATCGCACCATTCAAACTCATGCCTTCAGGAATCACACAGAGCACTTGCTCTTTTATCACAACATACAGGAATGCAGTCACCACGTCAAGTAATCCAGAAGGCAGCCAAGTGCTTAGAAATTGCAATGCGCAACTTCACATACTTGGCCACGGGCGAGAACGTCTCTTTGTAGTCGATATCATGTTTCTCGCAAAAGCCAATCACAACAAGTTTTGTATTTCTCGATCTACTCATCTGTCTTGCGCTTAATTATGAAAACCCACTTGGTACGATGGCATGTTGTCTGTTGGGCAATTTGGTGCATGGTGCACGAAATACACCACGAAGCTTCATTAATGCGAGTTCTGAATCAATGATTTAATGCCAATAAGCTTAGTCTAGGTCGCTCACGAAAGATCCGCTGCTGCTTCGATGGTGTTTGCACTCGGATACCAAAATAAAGGGATGTTGGTGTATCATGCATTCCTTCCGCCTTTTCCTCTTTATCTCTATCAGATCGACGCGAATAGTCATTGTTCGGTGCACTTGCTTCTTTCAACCCAGGCCGTTGACGTACCTTACGAGATCTGATAACAATTTCATCTACATCACTGGGTCGGTACTTGCGCTTACCTGCCTGCATGAAGGTTTCAGGGCGTAGATCTTCATCAATGAAATCGATTGATTGAAGTCCAGAACATCGAAGGCATCATCCGTGCTCATAGGTGAAAGTCCAAAGGTCAACTCATCGAAGTTGCCATCGCGAGTGATAATCACTTTTCCCGCTTCAGTGTCATAAACGTGATAAGCCTCGGACACTTCTTCGTAACCCATTCACAATCCAGCACAAGCCTTAAGATCCCACTTGCGTCGAATTATTTTCAAGACCGTTATGTACGCCTATCAGCCGGATACTCGCATATGTTTGGCGCTTGGTCAAGACTTGTAGACAATCTTGAACGGAGTCTTGCGCGCAATCTTGGGTGACGGAAACATCATTTTTTACATAATTGTGTGGTGGAGTGGCATTCGCAAAATCACTGATCCGATTCCGACTCTCCACTGGCACCCTGATGATCGCCTAACGTAAGGGGTACCCCGATTCCGTGTCCAAAGCCTTCCTCACCTTGTGTACCCGTCGTTTGGGTGGGTATCACTCTTCTAGGTGGACTTGAGTCGATGACAAATCATAATTGGGTTAAGGATAGGGGGTTTGGTGATCATTTGGAAATCTTCACAAGATCGACCGAGTACTTGGTGTGATCTTCCCCATTGATCACGGGATTCAATAAAGCGAAGCTCAAATCTTCTGACCACTTGAGCAGAAGCTTCT